ACCCTCTGGGCGTGGCCTGTCAGCCAGTTCCTCACCCACCGCACGGACCCCTTGCCTGGAGTGTAACACATCAGTTTCTCTAGGAGGAGGCCGTGGGGAACCCTGTCAAAAGCCTTGGAGACATCCAGGCAGACAATGCTGACTGCTTGCCCTGCATCACCCGAGCAGGTTACTTTGTCACAGAAGACGGTCGGCTTTGTCAAGCATGATTTGCCCTTGGTGAACCCGTGCTGGCTTCTCCAGGTCATGTGCTTCATTTGACTTGTGACTGCCCCCAGGAAGATTCGTTCCATAATATTCCCAGGGACTGAAGTAAGTGTGGTGGGCTTGTAACTTCCTGGGTCCTCCTTTAAGTCCTCCTTGTAGATGGGAGTGACATTAGCCTTCCTCCAGATTTCTGGGATGTCCCCTGATCTCCATGACTTCTCAAAGATTATGGAGAGCGGCCTCGCAATGATGTCAGCCAGCTCTCATAACACCCTTGGGTGGATAACGTCTGGGCTGACCGATTTGTAGGTGTCAAGCTGCTGTAATAGTTTACATACCAACTCTTCCTTCACTGACAGTGCGTCTGTGTTCGCATCCACCTGGACTTTTGTTCCCAAGGCCTGGGGCCCAACACTGGTGATAAAGACAGAGCTGAAGAAAGCATTGAGAACCTCTGCCTTGTCAGCGCTGTCGTCTCCTGTTTAACAGTGGGCCAATATTGTCCTTCTGTTTCTGCTTGTTGTTTGCATACCTGAAGACGCCTTTCTTGTAGTTTTTGGCATCTCTGGCCAATCTCAATTTGAGCTGAGCTTTTGCTTTTCTAACTGCACCTCTGCACACCCTGGCAACGCCCTTGTAGCTCTCAATGGGTATTTATCCACTTTTCCATCTCTGGTACACTTCTCTTTTGGTTTTGAGCAGACTCAGCAGCTCAGAGGTCCCTTGCGCCTCCTACTTCCCTTACCTTTAAAGGGGATGAACTGGTTTCATGCTTTCAGGTGAGCGTTCTTGAAAAACTCCCAGCACTCGCTAGTTCCTTTGTCCTCCATGGAAGCTTCCCACAGAGTCCCTCACAACCGAGCTCTGAGTGAGCTGAAGTTTCCTCTTCTAAAATCTAAAGCCTCTTCCACGTGCTCAGCAGGATCCCAAACTCCACAATATCGTGATCACTGCAGCCAAGGCTCTCGCTAACCGAGATATTATAAAGCAGGTTTTCTTGGTTTGTGAGTAGCGTGTTCCGCAGTGCCTCACTCCTGGCTGGCACAACTAACACTTGTGTGAGGAAGCAGTCCTCTACACACTCCAGGAACTTGATGGAAGATGTGAGCTGTTGTACTGTTCTTCCAACAGATATCTGGGTAGTTGAGGTCACCCATAAGAACCAGGTTATGTTTACCTGAAGTTTGCTTAAGTGACCCAAATATTGCTTTGTTGGCTTTACCTTGGTTTGGAGGTCAGCAGCAGCTGCCTACTGTAAATTCCTCCTTGGAGATGACCCCTCTGACCTTGACCCATAGGCATTGAAACAGGGCTTCCACAATTGTCATAGCTGACTTCAAGATGCTCCTTAAGATAGAGCATGATTCCTTCAGCTCTTCTTCCGTGCCTGTCTTTACAAAACACCCTATAGCCATCCACCACGATCCTCCGGTCAAGTGATTTGTCCCACCATGTTTCAGTTATTCCCATGATATCGTAACTTTCTGACTGGGCACAGAGCTCCAGCTCCTCCTGTTTGTTCCCCAGGCTGCATGCATTGGTATACATACACTTGAGGTGGCTGGTCTTCTGGCTCACATCCTGTGAGGCAGCTAAGGAACATCTGTCACTGCTCTGGCTGGCCTGGCTTATTCCCCAGCTGGTTGGAATGGCATTAGCATTGCCACTTTGGACCCTGCCCCACCGAGTCCTTCCGTTTTAAGCCTGCCTCATCAAGTTGGCAAGCCTGCCATCAAAGATTCCCTTGCCTCTTCTAGACAGGTGGATCCCGTCCCTCCCCAGCAGACTACAGTCATGGAAGAAAGTCCCACTGTCATAAAAGCCAAAACCTTCATGAGGGCACCAGCCACAAAGCCAGAAGTTGTTTTGCATTACACATTTATTTCTGACTGCACTTTCCTCTAACTGGTAAAATGGAAAAAAAGATAACCTGGGCACCAATACTTGCATGCCCAGGGACTTGTAGTCTTCCTTGATTCTCCCAGGTTCCAGCTTGTGGCATCATTCATGCCCACATGAAAGAGCAGAAATGGATAGTAGTCTGTGCTTTTGAGAAGTTGTGGCACCCTCTTGGCAACATCTCAGACCTTAGCTCCCAGAAGGCAGCATACCTCCCTGTCAGGCCAGCAGATGGGCACTTCAGTGCCCCTCAACAGAAAGTCACCCACTATGAGCACTTGTTGCTTCCTTTTATGATAACCACCACCATTGCTGGTACACTTTGTTCTTGCAGACCTTGCTCGTGGGTGTTTACAGCTGTTAAAACTTCCTGTATGTTTGGTTGCAATGCTGGAGGGTGAGGACTGAAGCAGAGTCCTGCTTTTGTGGGTCACCAGGTTCCAAGGCACCTAGTTCTCTGCAGTGTCTGCCACAGCAGTGTGGTTGTGAAACCACTTACCTGCCTCCATCTCGGCCCCTCTAATACTGTGCAGCCTTTTAACTGTTTCCTGCAACTCAGCCACCTGACACAACAAATCCTCAACCTCTGCACATCTTTTGCAGGTACTTACTCTTTCTGCAGGAGAAGCGTCTGGGTACTCGTAAATATAGCCAGGAAATAATTAAACACAAAGAAAGCAAGCAAAAGAAAGAGAAAAAGTCAGCCACTATAACAACTAAGAAAACTCACCGTAAGTGCTCTTGTAGTGGATATTGTCAATGCATGGGAAACTGCTGCAATAACCCTTGAGAGATTGTTTTCCATAGTGACATCTGTTGGACTTTGCAGCATATTGTAACCTCTATATGTTCTGAAATAAAAATATTTATTTTACTACTAAAACATGCACTTAAAAAAAGAAACACCACAATCAAAAATTATTCTGGCTTAAATTACTATTACATATTTTATAGACTGCTTATAAAATAGAAAATCTGAGAACACTCTAAATAACACCTTGTTGTATTTTAGTATTGCTTCTGTATAGCAATATAGATTATAAATCAAATCCTTTTGTTAGCAAACAGAAATAGTAGACCAACACTCACTAACTAGATGCCCTAGAAATCACTCCTAAGTTAACACTAGTCTTTGGTTTTGCTCAAATACATTTAAACTTTGGATTATTACTGTAAAAATATTATTGCTGTAGAAAAATAACTATTTTGGATCTGAAGTAAGTGTCCACAAAGTTCTATTGTTTCCATACTACAGTATATAAATCTTGATTGACACGATAAAGATCACATATGGAAAAGGTAAATAATTAAAAACTTCTATGACAAACCGACAGAAGTAAAGAGCCCCCATAAATATGGACAACTCATACTGTCTCTAAGATTTCTAAACAGAAGACTTTAGGAAAGCATAGTTGGCAGCAAAAATACAGCAACAAGATCACACTATCAAAATTAAGTTTATTTTTAAATTATACAGGCAGTACAGACTTCTGCAATCACAAACATTAAATGGGGTGTGAAGAGTTGTAAATTCTGATCAGCACGCCATGCACACTGTTAGTTTGCAAAGCTGCACTTACTTATGCAATTCAATGGACAAAGAGGGTGACCTCATGATGAAGAGAAGGTTTATCACAGAACAATGACTTCCTACGACCGACGTGTGAGCACATCACTAGTAACTCACACACCACTTTATTCAGACACAAGTCTGTTTCTGTGGAGCCTAAAACTACCACACATGCTCCTACAGATTGGAAAAAGAGTTCATAAGCACACAGATTTGCAAGATTTAACTACGATTCTAGGCATTACGAATTGAAAGCTGGGTCCACGTTCCCTTCAAAGGGAGACAAGACACACAACATACCTGGTGATAGTGCTCACTGCAAAGTGAGATGGAGGCTGTGTTTCATGCATTAGTAGTTTCAGGTAGACACTGCTTTGGTCTCTTGCCGCTGCCACAACTGGATCAGCCTGTCCTTGATCGCAGTTATAAAATAGCTTTGGAACAAGCCTTAATGATAATTGTCAAAAAGGAAAAGTATTATTAAGAAAGCATCTAATATACAATTTAAAGTACATTTAAAATACATTTAATATACAATTCAGAAAGCTGCATACACCAATTACACATACCAAACTGTAAATAAAAGCTGTTGCTAAAAGTCATATTGTTAAGCTAAATTCATCTTTATACAATTGCTCTTCATTATAATCAAGGAGCTCAAATCAGGACAGAGGAACTGCTCTAGACACATGGTAGCTAAAAAACCCCCAAATCTTCTATAGAGGTACCTACTACCTATACACACTGCAATGACCATGTCACTAGAGTATTTCTCTCTCAGTGTTGCCCTATCTCTCCAGATAGTCTCCCCATGGATATCTGTGCCAACTGAAAACTAGTTTCTACCTGGAAAGGACAACTTTTCACCATCTGATTTCTATGCAGCAAAAAACTTAAACACATGATAAGACCCAGTCTTCTTGAACAACAACACTTTCAACTTGGACAACAGTGAAAAACTACAGTACGCATTTTTTGTAATTTCGCTGACAGTACTTCCAATGAACGCCCATAATGGAAGCTTCAAGGAGCTCCTGCAAGCTCGTAGCAGCTTTTTCGGCAGTTACACATGCTGTCACTAAGTCAACATGAAGATACAGAAACACTCCAACTTGTTAGCACTCGGTTAACAAAATAACTCCATTTCAAAATCAAGTCCCTGAATGAAAGCAAGGAGGTGACTTATGCATGCTATGCAACTATGCAAAACCATGATGCAACTTAACGATTTCTCTGCTGAGCTGTTTCCGCAACAGAACTGCTTTCAAGTGGCAGAATTTTTAAGGTTTCATTGTCTTTTATTTGTTATTAGGAACGGACAGCAATTAATAGTCTGAAAAAACTAGGAAAGAGACTTCTCTGACAACAAAACATTCCAGGAATTCGATATTAAATGCTCCCAACATCTTCAAACATAAAACTTAAGTCCTTGAATTCTAATACATAAACTACCAACTAATCTGTACTGTTTGGTGCATTTATCTGGACAGCAGTCGTAACTGTAGATGGTTACAGCAAACAGCTGCTTTTTAAACCAGATTAGCTACTTCACTATAACCAGTAAGCATGAAAGTTTTAAGTTAACCATGTGGTTACTTATAACCATGTGGAAACTACAACACTTGGGAGTCAGGACAAGTTGGTAGAACTGCAACATTTTAAGTCCATCAGCTAATGTCAGGAAACTGAACAAATCACTGCAGCATGCAGAAAACTAACTTGAAGTTGAAACTGAAAGTGACACTCGGAATGCAATACAGTTACATGTAATTATAATACTAATAAAAAGCAAAGTATAATTGCCTGATGATTCAGAATGATGAATGTTCCAGGTACCATAAAGCTGCATTTGTCTGTCTCCCCTTATTTAAACAAAAATATAAAAAGCCCACTAAGGGATTGTTTTAATTATAGTTACACAGTAACATGAAAATATCTTCCTAAAGTCTTTATAAAACAACCCAAAACACAAACAAAAACCAAAACACATATACCTCATTAATGAAGCTGCAGCTACATGTCTTACTCTTGGATCTTCATCTCCAAGCAGACATATTACAACATTATTAAGTACTCTCTCCTGAAGTTTCAGTAGCTAGAAAACAAGTTAGCACAGTAAAATTCATTGAACATTTTCATCCAATTGTTAAAAGATAGTGAGATTTCATCTGTCATACAAGTCAGTAAAACAATCTTTACCTCAGCATTTCCAAACACACTATTTAAATACATAAATGCCAAACTTTTTTTTAAGTTTTTTTTAAAAAATAAAACAAACACAACATCCACCAGAGAACACCAATATATCTGAATCTCAGCAGTAAAGTACCTTTCCAAGTGTAAAAAGTCTCAGAACATGAGCCTATATATACAAAACGTACAGCAACTATCAGTATTGACAGAATTTAAACATAAAGTGCTGAAATTGCACTGGTACCTTACTCCAGAAACACAATAGGCTGATTGAATAATTTACTTACACCAGTATAATGATGAATACCTCTGTGCAAGCTCTCAGTTCTTCCTTCCAAGAAGCTGACTAGCCTATGATAAAATAGAATTTAGAGTACATCAGTTAACATTAAATGTTATTTCTCCCTTCAGTCCTCTGAGGGCTTTTTGTTTGTTTATTTTTTTTAAAAACACCACTGCAGGGAAAATGTAAGAAGTAAACACACTTTCTGCTACCTTTAGAAAAGGTAAGCTATTTGCTAAACTACTACCTGGTTAGTGTAACAGAAGGATTACTTTTATTTAGTTAAAAAACATTATATACACATTGTGATTGTATTTTCCCCACGCACAGAAAAATCAGACTCTTCTGAAAAGATGGTAACACTTTCCAAACATTACTACTCAGAAAGAGTCCAATTTTGTATGACTAATAATAACTTGAAGAATTTTCAGATAAACACCTTTTGTCTTTCAGCTTGGAAGAACCTGTGGAGAACGAAGGAATGCAAGAAAAGGAAGTAAAGCCATATTCATTTCAATGTAACAGAAACTGAGCAGCAACAGAAGAGAGCTGACAATAACGGAGAACAAGTTCGGGACTTTTTCTTTAAAAAACACACAGACAGCTGGACACGAAATCCAAGTTAGTTTCCAGATTATATCGTCTCTCTCTGATCACAGATTTACAGAAGACTTGATCAAACAGACCACTGAACTAGAAACTCCTATACAGTGTTACTACCATTGGGCTTGGTAGTGAAGTCAATGGTAACTTGACAAAGGAATTCACACATTCCTTATAGGAGTGATTGGTCTGAATTAGTTTTATGAAACTTAATATTTCAGAAGAATCTGCTCCATTATGGTTCCAGTTTCCTACACACAGCATCTTTGTACTGCAGCTACAACACCCATGGAAAAAATAAACACTTACCGAAAATCTACCTCTGCAAGTGTTTCCAGAAGTTCCGTTCTTACCAGCCAATATGAGCTATTCTTCAGCGTAAGGAGGTCAACAATTAATTGTAAACCTAATTCACTGTAACTGCTACTACATAAGCTCATGATGCAATGCTGAGAAGAAAAAACAACTTTCAGTTATATTACAGAAGAGGTTCTCTGATTCAGAGTATATAAGTGATCATAAAAATCTGTTTTATCTAGAATACTAAAAAAGTTATTGCTTAAGAACCAGGAGAAAGTACCAGAGCTAGGTACTTTGCAAGGCTAGGACACTGGCTCCACGTGAACTGCTTAAACCTGCTGCTGAATTTAAACTCTGGAGAGGAACACAAGCCTCAGCTTAGAGGACAATCCTCCAAAGAGTAAGGTCTAAAACTCACAGGCTTTAAACACCAGAAGCACTATATTCTTAGCTCTTCAAAAACAGTCTCTCCTAATTTCCACAGGGTATTTTTAGACACCTGGTTCTGATTTCCAAAGTTTTTAAAGAAGTCATACCCCCTTATTTTAATGACTGTTCAACTCTATGCACAATGTGTGATCTTTGGAAAAAGGTACAGAACTCTACACTTGTATGTCTGTCTTAACTACAAGAAGATGTACTTTCTTGTTCAGGGATTAACAACCCAAAATGCTTTAGAATATTTCTACTAAAAGGTATGAAGTCAGGCTACTTTATATACGGAGAGAAAGAAGTCAAAATTGACTAGTAGAAAAGCCAGTCAAAATTGACTAGTAGAAGCCGCCTGAACTGAACAATTCTAGTGAAGTCTTCTAAAAAGCCATAATTGTAAGTGTAATCATACATGAAACCACTACATACAAATAAGAGACTAGAACAGAAGGATAAAAGATAGCAACATTTAACTTACTGGATTTCATTCCCTCAGCTGCACCACAGACCCCTCCTCTTAGCACATGAAATCATACTTGCCATACATTGGCTATCTGCATTTTACTAAAAGCTACACTTCGCCTCACTGACCCATAAGCTGCAATACAGTCAGCCACCCTGTGCATCTCCCCGATGAATTCACTTCCCTTGGCCTCCAATTTGTCCTTGTTGTTCTACTTTTTTGGGAAAATTCCTCAAGAAAAAGCTCACTGCTTCACCCCTCTGCTTTTTCACAGAACACTTCCCACAGATTTTATTACAGAAATAAAGTTGACACACTAAGTTCTACTCACAAATTGAGCTATCGTCTCTATTTTAACAACTGCCTGATGGATCTTTCACCCAATTTGAAACACTTTTCTGAGACTCTTCACTTTTTAAAATTATTTCAGAAAATAATCACTATTTTACTCGTCATTTCTCACATTTACTTTTTGTTCTCCAAATACAGGCTACAACCAGGTGTTACACGTTCACACCTCCCTGTTTAGGCTAGACATCCTTTTTATCTAACACACTCATCCTATTGGTGGTTAATGTGACATTAGAGCTCATACCAGTACATTTGTGGCTAGAAATATTGTGATTAGATTGCACTGCTACATAATCTAACCAACATCATTATTTTCCACCTCTTTGTTCCTCCATTTCTGTGCCTGAATCCATGTTTTCTACAATAAAGTTCTTGGGGAAGAAGTCACTTTTTGCTCCAGGTTTATACACGTGAGCATAGCAGGATCCTAGTCAGCGAGTAACACCCCTGTGATCTGTGGTGGTGCAAACAAATTACTACTACTGCTTACCCTCACAGCTGTACAAGCCAGTTTGCATGTAACAGAGGACTCATCTTTCAGCGTTTTCTGTAACAGAGGTATGCAATCTACCAACGAAAAGAGATTTCCTAACCAAAAAAAAAAAAAAATTAGAGCAATGAAACAAAAGGAAATTTTGGTTACATTAAAAAAAGAAATACACCCTTAAAATAAATTGTTACCTGTTGAGCTTCTGACATTTATTAGCCATTTTTCCACATCAAAGCGGGACTTAATTAGAATGGAGTTGACAATTGTTCCACACAGAATAGCAGTAGCTCCTCTAATCTGGGGATCTCCATGGTCAATGTAGTTCAGAACATCTGATACATACTGCTCCTCTAAGAAAATAAGTTACAACTACTTTATTTTAAAAATACTAGTCTTAGACTTAACTGATCCCTAAAAACATTTCAGTGGAGGTATCAATTATTGTACAATCAATCAGCATAGTCACAATATGTCTGCCTTAGTTTTACCTTTCAGACATCCCTTTCATGTAATCTATAGATCACTCACATCACCCAGACCAATGATCACATTTAAAAATACTAGTGATTTATTTCAATTGTACACAAAGTGCTCCAGGGAAATCTAAGAAGAGTTTTAGTCAACACTCCACCTTTACCACTATCAGTATCAAACCAGCTGAATACTCCAGGTCCCTGCTGATCATATTGCAGCACTCAAAAATTAACCTAATGGCTTAAAAACCATCTAGAAGATGGCCTGAAATAAACTAAAAGGAACCATTTTATAAGACAAACAAACCATTTCTACATAGCAGTTGTACTAAAACAGCTTCAACTTGTCAGAAGCTCATCCACTGAAACTTAACTCTTATTACAAAAAAAAATCTCCCCCCATGCGTTACTTGTGCAGACAGCATGTTCATTTCAATTGGGGGAATATTTTCTTTTGCAAATACTAAACTGGATGTAGAGTTTTCAGTATAGATACTGTCTCACTTATTCAAAAACCCAAACACGCCATTAAAACAGAATATGTGAACTGCAACATACCATACTCTTCTCCCATTGCTTCAAGGGGTGTTTTGTACAGTTTGCTGAAGAAAGACTCTGGGTGAAGCGCAACAGCTGCTCCAACACAACTCACTGCCAGGGCTTTTACACTGACTCTCACTTCTCTATCAGGAACTAAAGCTGGGGAGAAAGAAAAAAAAAAAAAAAGGGGGGTGTCTTTAAAAGCTTCCTGAATCATTTTTAAGTTAATTCGTAACTCTGTACAATATAAGTAGTTTAGCCTGGACAAAAAAAATACGAAGGCAGAGCAAGTAGTTCTAGTTTATCAGAGGCAGCGGTTATACATGGCTTTTATTAAAAAAAAAAAAAAGAAAAAAATAACTAATAACTCCATACACTTCCAGCTCCCTTCATTGCTGAGAATACAGTTACCACGCTGTCTTTCCAAGAACACTACATTAGCAGAATAGAGGAACAAATAACAGTTCAGAAAAGGGAAAAAGAACAAACATCTCAAATGCTCACTTCAGTCATATGTAATGACACCCGGACGCATGCCTGTGACACAGACTTCCAATTAAAAAAAAAAAAATGGAAGCAGCAGTGTATGCCATAAAGGCTTTCTGACATTTTATTACCATCCCAAAAGGGAAACAACTCCTCTTTTGAGCCCCAGCAGCCTTCTCTAACAATCACTTGCTGTCAAAAAAAGCTCCTCTCTGACTATCACACACAAAAAAACCCATGAAAAATGGCCACACTAACTTATGCAAATGTTATAACATGTTAAAAATGGAGAAGAAAGTTCAACTTAAGGTTTTCAAAGACCTAGCTGAAATCTCAGGTCAATTCTCTGCTTTACTACAGCTGAATCATTTAAAATACATTTAAGTTACATTTTCCAGACACAAATGGGTACAACTATGAGCTATGTTCAAAAAAAATTAACACGGAATTCAAACACAACTGAGTGATAACGCTAAAAAAGATCCTTTTAATCTTAATTAAAACAAATTAAACTGTAAAAATACTAAGACAAGTACTTGAAAGAACTATGTTCTTCAGAACATGTTTTTAGGAGCTTCCACAGAATGAATGGCAACGCAGAAAATTGTTTCCTTACTGAGATATTGATACTTTCATAGTGGAGAAACTGGGCATCCAATGCTGATAAAAAGAAATACTGATATTAGATTGTCTTTGCAGCTTCATACAATCTACAAACTGTCATGGCCCTGCAGGTTAAGTCTCATAAGAATTTACACGTTGTAAATGTAATTATTCAACTTACGTGGTAAGTTACCATAAGATTTCTTTAGACACCCAGTGGTTCAAAATGGGATTAATTGTAAAATGGTATAAAATTTTAAGTGCTTTTAGTTTTTTTCTGTACTCTAGTGTGATCACTTAAATCATGACTCTCACCAAAAAACCCCACCCCTGACATCTCCAATTAAGTGAGGTTAGAAACCAGACAGAGTAAATTGATCACATTTCCAACTTTGTACATTGAGAGACACAATGAACTGATGAGTCTTGAACAGCAACCTACCTCCTTTCTCTCCAGTAAGCAGAAAAGAGGCTGACAGAAGTCGAACACAGTGCACTAAAGGAGCAGAATTTCCATCGGTATAGTGACCTATGTCTCCCTTTACCCTGGAGGGCTATTGAAGACAAATAACAGTTTTTATTATAGATAAAAGTTATTCTTCAATTTAAATAAAATATTAATTTTATTTAATTTTATTAATAACAACAACATTTAGAAATATTTAGAAATTGCACATCCCCAAGCATATAGAGGTTGCAATACGAAGTGTTTAACACATATTCAAAATAAGGCCTTAAAATTTAATGCTTTCAGGAATTTCGTATCTAGTATCAGAATTGGTTTAATCTTATCACAGAAACAACCATCATTCTGTAGATTTTCTGAATTACCTAGGCTTGCTGTTTACATATGATCACCACTTTGTCACCTAACAATGATCTTTGGAAATTCTGCATGAGAACCAATTAATTCCCAAGTTGTTTCCAAAGGCGTCTGACAACTTTCTGTAGATTTGCATTTAGAGTTCCCCAGTAGCCCAAGCTGATCTAACCCTGCCTGCCACAAATGAAACTCCTTTTGTCCCAGCTCAGAACAAGGTCCAAAGCTAAAGTCAAAAAAACATAAGAGGAAATTAGTAACCTGTGGTTAGAACAGCATGAGCCTCTCCACAGTGAGGGAGGCTCAAAGAGTAAGGCATAACATCCAAGGAGATCATAAAGTTACCTACACTGCTGGCAACCACCACAAAGGTATTTCAGGTACTAAAGAATCAACGTACCCTACTAATGCACAGACGAGGGGTTTGTGATTTCAGCAGTTTGCATTCTGTTATGGTTTTGCTGGTGATTGCATTAAAGATACAACACTTGTGTATCCCACCTTATGTTAAATGAAATTCAAGCTATAACTCAGATTTACTATCCAATCAGTTATTTTGACATACAACAAAGTACACCACATATACAGGCGCCTCACATTTACCACTAGTTTACATGATCATAACTGTAATTATAATTTTTTTAAACTTAGTTGTTTTAAACTTTAAACCAGGCCACTGTGACTACCTCTCACCTTATTTTCATGATCACCAGGATCTGCTGCATCTTCTTTTGATGCAAATCTATCTACGCTGCTATCAGAAGGCTGCCTGCTATGGCTCATGGTTTTCAACAGGTGAGGCTGCTGAAGAGCTTTAGAAAAAGGCAATTCATGAAATACCATTTCAGATGCAAATTAAAACCACTTTAATTGAACTTAATTATACAAACATGAAAAATAAATTAGCAGTGATCAAAACAAGTGATTCACTAGAAGTGTTGAAAAACATTCCTTATCTTACATTTCAATCTAGTTATTTGCTTTTCATATCATTACACGCATCTTCAGTCCCCTGGAAGAAGATAGACAGCAGATGCACCTCTAACACCTGTCTTAAAGGTGTCACCAGTTCTGTGTCCATCTGTCTGTGTGTCACTGTTTCTCCGCCCCCCGCCCCCCCAATTTATCAACATACCAACAGAAGAATTTCTAAAAGACTCTGATGAATCATCTTGGAGAATATTTGCAGCCTCATCCTCCTCATCCTGCAGCTGCCCAATTTGCATTCCAGAATACTGTCCTTCGGTACCCTCCAAAACCTACACAGTGCAAGGACAGGACTTAAAATACCTTAGTTTAACACACACAGCATTAAGTCTCAAATATGCAGTGTTAGTGATCTAGAAATAATTTGAAAGCAAATATGAGCCTGATAAATATTAGTATACAGCTGCATGCAGGCCCCAAAGCAGTTCCCCTCCTCCTCCAGCAGCTGGGCTATTAGAGGCCATAGTTACACCTGAGTCTCCCACTTGAGCCAGGAACTTGCTATCAGTGCTAACTAACTAACTTACTAACAGTAAGAAAGTTGAACACTTGGTGCATTGCCTCCCCTGCAGCTCTCTTTGCTGTCTTATCCCAAACACGACTGTCCCTCTACCTCAGCAGTTACAAATCACAACCAACACCTTTACTGTCACAAACTGAACTTGTCACTTGCTGTCAAACTTGCCCATAACCTCACTTGTCCTGGATATGTAAAGTCAAACTAAGAACACACTGTGTAGGACAAAAAAAGTTTAAACGTATTTTAATTCCTTCATTCTAAACCAAACTACTAAAATGGATACTTCTAGAAGAGCATTTGACCCTTGGTGCCAATGCAATATACAAGCAGTAGGTATATGGAAAAACAACCATAAGAGACAAAAAAATAATGGTAGTAACAAATAGTAAAAAAATTTCATCATAAGTTTATCAGAAGACAGGATACCTCTTCAGTTACTCCCTGACTTTATAAGCATCTGGAAATTGTTCATCAAAAAGCTCATGTGTAGGTAAGTGGGACAACCACTTAGTAAGTCAATTACAAAAAAATAATTTTACTTCTAATTACTGTAATAGTATGCAAACTGAAATATGCAACAGTCTAACAAGAATTTGCAAAAAATGCATCTTGTCAGTAAACACAACTTGCCAATAAATGCCTGCTCACTTTGGTCTCTGCACTGCCTGCATTTACTTCAGAGACAGAGCAATCATCATCACTCCTTTGGTTCTCGAATCCTCACACTTTCAAGAGTATTTGCTTACCATAATTGTAAATTTACCACTTTTTGCAGTGCTAAGAGACTATTACTCTTCTAAAGTTACCATCAGCAAACTTAAGTCTAAAGTTTGATAATGTTTGAAAAAAAACCCAAATGAAAAAATTCTAAGTTTTCCCCTTCTTGCTTTTTCTGCTCTTGCTCCCAGTAATTATATTTTTGCTGGTTTTATTACAACCTCACAACACACTTGCCTAAGAAAGACACAGTTCTTAAAAGCTATATTGTATGCACATTTCAGGTGTTTATTAGATATGTAACTGCTATGTTAGTAAATCATGCAATATTTGCTCAGTACAGGAGAAATCCTTCAGATGGAATAAAAAGGAAAAAGATGAGTCGTGTTGCCAAGTGAAAAAGCACAGGCAGAAGACAATGTGAAGCATTAGGTTCCAGAAGTATATTCCTCTAATCATTCCAAATAGACTGTTCACCCTTTAACACTTCCATTAGTCCTCCTGCACCAAAACAATTATTATATATCAACACAAAGTGAGGCTACTAAGAGGATATATTTATGTCAAGCCTTTGATATGGATAGTCTTCCAGTGACTGACAATCTGTTAATGCCTTCACATGACCTACCCAGTGAACACACTGATTACAACTTTGTAGTTCTTAATTACTGCTGGAGTGAAAGTGTTAAAAGGAGGTCAAGCTCTCCAATAGAGGTGCGAGCTGCTGACCTTTCCATTGCTACTAGCTGAGGATGGAAAAGTAGAAGACGAGTAAGTAGTTGAATCCAAGTCTGGGCCCTCCATGGAAGAGCTCTGAGATATGTCGGGCCCCTCAGTAGAGGAGGATCCCCCCTCTGCCCGTTGCACACTTACAATTTCAGAACTGTCCGAAGGGGTTACAGCAGAGTCTGGGCCTTCTGTAGTAGTTTGAGAGCTATCACTAATTGGTGAGGAAGCCTGTGTACCATCATTCAAGTCCATAGCAGGGTCTGACTGGACAGCACTGATCTGGCTGGAACTTCGACTGAGCACATCGTCTTCTTCCCCTTCAGTAGCTGTACTTGCCAAATCACAGCTTGTCAGGTCTACAGAGTCTGACTGCAACGTATGTTGAGAACGTGGCTGCTCAGTAATGATATCATGTCCAGTAGGATCAGCAGCTGAACTCCCTACTGACCCAGCTGTTGACACACCTGATGAAGAAGCTAGTTCACTGGTTATCTCGCCCTTCACAGAAGCTGCAAAACACAGACATTTATGAGTCAAACAAGTGTTTAAACTTGTGCTTCACTCTTGATGTGGACAGCACATACTAAGTCACATGTTAAACTAGGTTAAGGAAAAGAGTATAACTAAACAATTGAACTACAGGTAGGGAAATAAGCATCTGTAAGATGCCGTTCCATCTATACCAGTAGCTCAATATGACAGCCTATCCATTAAAAAATTTGCAGTCAAATTCATAAGGTAAGTACAAGTTTTACACCCAGGAATGTTTATTGGTTCTGTTTTGTTAGCATGTCTTGAGTGCCCATCTACTTCCTAGTCACCATAACACATCACTTATATTTTACATAGAGCAACAAAAGAATGGATTTGTAACGTATAGTAACACGGGTTGATTGCACTGCTACAGGGAAAGTCATCTACCTGCAAACGATGCAGCGCTGACATCTGATCGGGTTTCAGAATCATCCTCTAAACCTTCTTCTTCACCAAGAAGTATTTTACCTGAAAGGTGATGTAAGAAAAACCATTACAGTTTTCCAAAATTATAGCCAACTTGAAATGCTGAACAGTTGAAGTAATTTAGATGTGAAATCTATTTATAAAAGTTTATCCAAATAATTCTTCAAACCTATGACAGGCAGCAGATGGAAAAGAGAAAGGAACAAAGAAAGTGAATATCCAGTCCCTCACTATCTGACTAGAAGAAAAACAAGCAGCAGTGACAAAGAAACACATAGTTAAGTAATTTTATTTAACAGCGTAACCACTCAGGAAACTATCTATGACCTTATTCATTCTAGTTTATTTTTGTGGACTACGTTTAAGATGCCACTAATTTCATCAAATATGTCCTGTTACTAAGGACTGAATACCTGGCATCTAGACGTCTGCCCTCAACACAGAAGAACATTAAAGCACCACAAGTAGTAGAATAACCTCTTACTCCTTAAGGCTATGAAAATTATCAATTACGTGCAGTTTGGGGCTTGGAACTCCAATGATAACAGATCGGAAAATGCCTAGGGGGAAAAGCAGCACCGACTAGAAGCCCAAGACAGCACAGGTGGGGCAGGGTGATGAGCCATGGACAACAGCCATTAAGATCCAGGGACTACTAAGGCCAAAATCTTCACAGAGGCTTTTGCCATAGGAAAAGTGAGAGCCACTTAATACCTAACACAACCATCACAGAATTCCCTTACTCACAGAGTAGTATCTATTTTAAAAAGAGGCAGTGGAAAGAGAAAGATACCCAGAGATGCACACTGCCTGGGAGCTAAGCGAGGACACAACTGCACTGAAAAGTCTGTAAATGGGGCAGGATACAGAGTGCAGAGGGAGCTCTACTGAGCCCATCTTTCTGGATCTCACAAGTCACTTGCTGAGACAGTGGGATTCATGATAACTGATTTGAGATAGACCTGTTTTGCCATTTGGAATAAGCTTCGCTGGTAGTCTAAGATTCACCATGCAAGATACCAATGTTTTGATAACTTTGGGTGAATTCCTTCGCATCTAATTAAAGTTACCAGGGGGTAAAAAAAGCATTAATAGACTTTTGTATTAGCTTCTCTATCACAACTGCTTTCACACATAGCAGTAACACTGTAAAATTGTATTCCTCTGAAAAGTACGTTTTATGCTATTCAAACCTTTAAGGAAGGCAGAAAAGTAACGATGACATTCCCATCTATGTTCTATGTAAAATAACAGCAATTAATTGAGAACTACACACTCTTATGAAAGAATGAGTAAAACCCTGCTAAGAGGTCCCAACAAAAAGCATGAAAGATAGTATCTTTTTCTCTATTCTTTCTCACATTTACATCCATGTCAAGGAAACAAACCAGGATATTCTGCTTTCCACAGATGATCACCTTTAAAAGTCAAAGAGGAAGGACACTGAAAAACACTCATTAGGCATATTAGGCTTCGTATGTTTAAATGAGTATATAAAACAAGCTGCAAGATACTTTTCCACTATTTAAAAAAAGAGAAAGTCAGTTAAGATGCAGAACATAAGCTTTCATTTCAAAATGAGTTTTCAGCGGTTTTTTTGCAACTACTTTTCTGAAGCTGACACAAACAAACCAACATAGGCCAGCTGCTCAAAACGAAAGCTGGTCTGAAGCAGAGAGACTGAAAAGGCATGGAATACCCAAGTTCTTATGTTAGGATCACAGATTTCTGTAGATCAGCCTCACTTTACACTGCTGGACACAAAGGAGTCTTACAGCTAGAGAAGTTTCACTCACAGCCAACAACAGAAGCCTACTACTACTCTATATGGTAGTAGACTGCAAAATGATGTCAAGTAGGAACCAGGAATAGGCTTGATTTTTCGTTCCTTTCTACAGTGGAGAGCAGCAGGAAATGAACAATTCACAATTTGAAATTAAACCTGTAGAAAGCACAAAATTGTGTAGAGATTTCTTCAAATTCACTTATGCCAAGGTTTTAGACCACAAAATCTTCATACCATGATCTTGAAAAAGATAAAAGCTGATGACTGATACATGTTTTCCCACTGAGTGAAGGAAAGGTTAGTGTTTTAACAAGTACTTTAACTGAATTTATGCTTATTATTAATACTTCAAAGTATCCAGAAATACTTCAAATACTGAAGACTACTAACAAGTCAAAGTATCAAAACGATGATTTACCATTTTCCATTGTTGCATTCCATGCTGCTATTCTTTGTTGCATTCTGTCTCACCTTCGGATGCTGCAGCAATATCTACTTTCAGAACACCCTTTCTATCAATCCATTGCTTCTAAACTAGAAATTATCACCGCATCCATATGCACTGTTTTATTCAGCTCTAACCACTATTTCACATTCAGGTACACTCTTAAAGCATACATGTATATTCTTCAAGCGTTATGAGATTCCTTGCACACAAACATGAGAGGACGTATTTGGAAAAAGCATCAGGTAGTTGCCATAACGGTCCTTAAAGTTTGTATAATCTCATTTAGTCTTAAACTATTTTTCCCTGTAGTTTTACTTCTCAGTATTGCAGATCTCTCTGCTTACCATGCTTGCGCTGACTGCACTATACCCACACATAGTTCCACTGGAGTAGCAACATTTTGCTCACCTAGAACAGGCGATGAAACTGTTACACAGCTGTATCTAGAGTGATTCTAGTACTGATGTGACTGGTTTTAAGCAAAAGTGTAAACATGTAACCAGATATGGAGTACTTTCACACATAAACTGGGAAAAGAATATTTCAGAGTAAATTTTATTATTTAAAATCCTGCTAAATGAACTTCCAATTGAAGAAAAATTAAAATATACAGTAAGATACAAAATGTATAGAATTAATCATCAAGAACAGAAAAAGAAATAAAAGCATATCAAAGCATGCAAACATACACATGCAATAGTGATAAAAGTAGTAAAAAAAACCCAGGCCTAACCAAGAAGGTTAACTATTTTCTGAGTTACACTACAGGTTAAGTATTACCACAAAGAGGAAGAATGCCCTGTTCAGAGAGATTATTTTTAGATGTGCTCTTTAAAAATGAAAATTGCATCAATATTCATCACCATAATTTCGCCAGTGAACTACAAAAATAAGAATTATACTGCTTTGAATAACTTTAAAATATCTTGATTGCAATATCAAAAATCATGTCAGAATTCTTTTAAGATTTACAGTGATTAAGCTCAGCTGATAACACAAAAGGCAATTGGGAATGAAGACCAAAGTTCAGCAAGACAATGAAGTGGGGAGGAGGAAGGGGAAAAAAAAAAAAATCACCATGAAAAAAAATCAGAAAGGAATGCAATTAAAAATTTGTTTTTGAAAATAATCACCTTTATGCTTTCTCGCAAGAACAGGGCTGCATGAAGACCCCCCTCCAGCTGCAAATCACAGAAAGTAACACATCAGGGCAAAGACAGAGCTGCTGAAATCATGAAGGAATTCTAATAGCCACAAATGGAAGGAAAAAAAAACACCAACAAAAAAAAAAACAACAACAAAAAACCACCAAAGCCAGGAAGAAATAGCAAACTTGTTGCTTTGCTTTTGAAGTCCAAGTTTTCTGGATCATCCACCATCAAATGACATTTTATTTTTCTCTGCCATTTGTGCAAAGTTTGCTTTTAAAAAAATATGCTCTAAATTTCACTGCTATGATAGCTTCTGGCTAATGAATTACCTTCTAATAGCAGCAATATTAGAATGATCCATTAGTTCAATACAGAAGTCCAATCAGAGATTGATCCTTTTGAAACAGGTAAGTAGCAGTTAAAAGACAATTTGAAGAACATGCACTTCACAGACAAGAACACTGATAGCTGATTTTAACAGTTACGGATAAACTTTAGTCATGTTTTAATTTCATGCTGGTTTTGGTATTCAGCAAGGAGCGCTCAGTTAATATAAATTCCGATTAGGTCAGCTTTTTATGAATCACAGTTGTCAGATGCTTGGTGAGAAGAACATTAATTTTGTGGGGAAAAAATAAATCTGACGCTACCGTTAACTTTTCTGCGTAACCAAAAAAAACCCATCATCATCAACTGTAAAAAACACTCTGGAGATTGTCATTACTCAATGAATGTATACCCACTTAAAGGAAGGAGGAAAAAAAACCTTTTACTGTACCAGGGGGCGGGGGCCAGTCATGCATAACTTCATACAGTTAATTTTATCCTTCATACTTCTGGCTAACACTGAGAAACAGAGCTGGTGATGTATGTTCCTCTCTTTTTACTTGAATTACCAAAAACATAGCTTACCTATAAGTTCCGCTATGCTCCCACTGCGGCTCCTGCTGGCAGATTCATCTCTGGATACACTGACCTGTGCAATGCCCCCTGAAGCGGTCAGGGCATGGAGAAGCTCAGGCGGTGGCGTTCTAAAAAGCTGTTGTAATAATTCTAAAGCTCCAGTCACAACATTATGGTCCTGATGCTGGGTGTAATGCAGAGTCAATTCATAAACCTAAAACCCAAAGTACTAGAGTAAGTCTCTATAAAGACACAACATACTGCATTTCTTCTCATACACCACACTAAATTTCAATGGTGCATCAGAAGTGACTGACGCTTGCTATATCTAATCTTCACCACACAAAGGGGAACATGTCAATTAATTGTAGCCATTCAACTGCCTTTTCGGTAGAAGTCTGTTGTTTCTGTTTATTGTTACAGAAGGAGGAATCATTTCAAAGAACACCATCATGATTATCAAGTTCTTTAGCTCCTTTGGGAACACCTAACAAGTATTGCTGATGCATTTTTCTGGGATTTCTGGTCATTATTTATCAACAATTCCAGTCACTGGACCAACTATAATTTACCAAGATGAACAGGAATTTCAGAAAACAATTCAACGTTCAACATCAAACTAGTGCTGTATCATACCATATGCAAGATTTATTTTCCTTCCAATTAGTACTCTTCAGGTTAGGGTTACTATTTATATTTTACCTGTATAAGTTGTTCTGGTGAAGGCGAAATCTCTGTTTCTTTTCTTGTTACACCAAAACTGCCTTTCAGGCTGGTATCCTTTACTTGTTGTTGCAATAAAGGTATGAGATACCTTAGTGTAAGTAAAACACCCAGAATTAAGAGAGTAGGACGATCATCTTCTACAGGAACCAACAACCCTGGCAACAGGAAAGCAGCAGCCAAATCACTTAGTGACAGTGATTAGTTTTAACACAAGTGTTATTTCATGTAGTCTATATAATAGCTTCTTTAAAAAAAAAAAACCCACACCAAATGAGCAGCAACTTAAGAATGCTTTCTAAATGCAGGAACATTTGAAAATATGCATTATTTAATATCCCTGACAATTACTTCAGCAAGTGAGAGACTGGTCAGAGGACCTTGTCTCACCTTCCCTGTTCCCTACTTCTCTTCGCTCAATAAAACATACACACAAAACTCTCTCTCATAATGCCTGATGCTTTCACCAAGTGATCTAGAGTCTCTTGCTCCCCTCACCTGCCTCCTCTCTCAACCTGGCAGTTAATCAAGGCCAAACATAGCCCTCTCACACATATGCACTACTATCCTAATGAATGACGTTTACACTTTCGCCTCCTCAAGTATTGGGAACCTTGTTCCATGTATGTACCCACTAATCAGTCTCAAACCCAAAACATATTAAGAACAACTATTAGTTACATAAGAAAACACAACCTTCTATTCAAGGGTGGGGACAAAAACCCCAAAACAGAATCATCTCATTAAGGTCTTATTAGTGCTTCTGTCTGAATTCAGTACCATTACCAGGATGTCATAAAACACCACCTTTGAGGCACACAAGAACAACGTGCACACAGAAGCACGCCATTTTCAAGTCAGACAGAGTGAAGAAAGTCACTACGTGGCATTTGAATTTTTGACTCTTTCTTAAAAGAAGCAAGGCTAACACAATAATGCTTGATGTATCTGTTGGTCTTCCTTAGGTCTCCTTTTGCAATATAGTCTACATATTTTTATTGTATATTTATTGTATATTTATTTACACAATTTACTACATAGTAAAGAACCCCTCACCAGTTACAAAACTGAGACAAAAGTTTCCACTACAATCCAAACAAGCATCTCATCCTGAGTTACAAAACACCCCAAAGACCACGCAAACTGAAGAAATATGGAAGCAACAACTGATGCAAAGTTGTGTGCTTTTAAATGAAAACAATCCGTTTCTGGTCTAAGTTAGGTTTTTCAACAAAGAATCTACATGGTACTTCTCCTAACAAAGGTTACAGAGTACGTGTTCATGACCCTCAGACCTGCTGCACTAACAACCAAGCTGCTGAACAAGGCAAGTCTTCACAGACTCCTGAGCAAGTTCTTCCAGAATCCCTAGACCTCTGCATTTCCAACAGGCTACTTGCTTCCCTAGCTTTGGCTGTTTCTTTTCACGTTAATGAACTAGCATTGCAGCACACAGAGACACAAAGAGCTTTAGCCATATCTTCAAGCAACTTAACACAAAACAGAGAAAGCATTAGCGGTGTAACTGGTGGTCTTAAGTATCCTTGTTTTGCCTGAAAACCTCTCACACACAAAAAGTGTCTTACGTGGGAAAAAAATCTCATGTTCCTTATACCTAAAGCAAATTTAATTTTTTTTCCTGAACCTTACCTAAAAGTACATTCAATAACCAGGCATAAAAATACTGCATTCTTCGCGAGTGTTGACAGATGCTTACTGCTGATCCTGCTGCTGTCCGACGGATAGTAGGGGAACTGGATTTAAGATTAGCTATGAAAGCCTTCAATAAAACCTAAAAACAAAGATACCTTACTTAACTCTTTATGAGAAAAAAAAAAAGGAGACAGAAGTGAATTAAGAAGTCAGCAAACGTATTTTTCATTCATCCAAAGCATTACTTAACACACGTCAAGCAAGGGCAACTTTCGCGCTAATTCAGACATTCAGCTGTAACACGGCTTTCTGCGACATCCAACTGATAATGCTGATAGCTCACTGTGCTTTGAGATATAACAGGGAGCACTAATAGATTAAAGAAAGATACCTTAATCTCATTGTCGTTTGCAAAATTGCCAAACGCTGCCATGATTTTTGGTATTGCCGCAGCTAGCGTCTCTTGTACTGATTCTTCGGGTCTCTTACTTATTCGTGTTAAACAGGGCAAAAGGTTCACTAAGTACGGCCTAAGTATGGCAAAGGAGAAAAACTAATTTGATATCAAAACAACTGTACCCTTCTAAACATTTTTAATTCATACACAAATCCTGTGGTATTACTAAATCATAAAAAGTGTACCTGTTAGCTACATAGAATGCAGAAAAAAAAAAAAGGACAATATTCTGAATACAATTTGCAGACATTAAGACAGAACTAAAGAAGAGTATTTTAAAAAAAAACCCCACAATTCATTGTCTTCACAATTTTTCCCCCACAGTCACATAGAGCAAGCACAGAACTAAAATTCCACTAAAAGAAAACCTAAAAGGTACTTCAGAGGGATCAACGTGATGGAAATTCTTTTAACTTCCCAATCATGTATTTAAAACTCGAGAACAGTAACATTTTGCTAACATCTATGTTCTGTTAAATGTTCTTTGGAAAGTTCATTACTAGGATGTGTTTACCTGCACTTTTGAGGCCGAACTAGATGGGCAAGCTCAGCAAATCTCCAGAGGGCAGCACGTAGACTTCTGGAAGCACCGTTCTGGACAGAGTATGTAATTGTTACATTTCATCAAGCAAGACATTTTCCTAAAAAATAGCTATAATATACAACAGTATACAGTTTTCTACCATTTTACTTAAACGGATAAAAATGTAAGGTCTGGAAGCCATGAATTTTCTTTAGCCAAAAGGAAGTCAAGTCAGCTCCATGATTGCCTTCATTTTTCTAGCTGGTATGAGGAATTTTCCGAGTGACTCAAAATTGACAATAAGGAACATCAAGAAAGAGAATGAAATGTCCCGAGATCTCCACTCTGCTGAAATCAGCTTAAAATGCCACCAAGGCACCATCCAACAAAGAAACACTGATAAGTCTAAAAACCACTGGAACACTTGCAGAGATACAAACACAGCATAAAATTGGCAGCAGTGGACATATGCAAATAAAGTTCATGTCCTGAGTGCACCAAAGAAAAAAATCCACGTATTGATCTGTATCACTTCATAATGGCTTGCATCCTGAAGTTTAGTATCTATTTGTCTGTACTAACATCTTCAGTTGTGCACCTGACTGAAGCCAGAATGATTTTAGACCTAGTGTCTAAGGATATAGTAAAGCTCCTTAGTATCGTTGGAAATACAGAAAACTATGGAAGTCAATAGATGTCAGGAGCAATTGTGTACCTTACATAATTTGAAACTAACCAAAATGCTTTTCAAATCAAGTCCCTCAAGACAGAGCTGAGAGGTTTAGAAACTGTAATTTCTTTCTTAGTTTTTTTAGCTAGTATATCGAAGGCTCATGGTCTTGTTAGCATGTAAAGTGAAAAAGAAACTTGCATTTGAATTACAAAGTGTGCATTTTTCAGGTTCAGAGCCAAACAACAGATTCTGGCATGGCTCCTAAAGTGGTCCAACTGATGCACAAACAAAATTCAGTCTGCTGGGTGCTTCTGCTGTGCCTGCTACATCTCTGTCTTGCCTCTGCCATGAATCCGAGAGCTATTATTCAAGAAGCACATGCCACTTTTAAACAACAAAATATTTCCTCCTGCACCTGGCCATGACATGCAGAAACTTCAGAGCAATTTTTATGTTGTCTGGTTTTTGTTAACTAGCTAGACATCCAGTTCTACACCCTTAAAAATTTCACATGACATTAAGGTACAACAATACAGTAAGATACTCATGCAGGGCCTACAAGTAGTCCACATCTGACAGAAAAAAGCCCTATCCACACTGCTTGTGTTATTTATTTTATTTTATTCTCTAGAGTTCTATCATTCCCAAAGAAATACAACAAAAAGCAATAGCATTACTGTCTGACAAATAACACATTTTCTCCCTATACGAGCCCTGCTGTTTGTTTACAGATGCAAGATGATTTCAGTCATACTGTCCAGAATACAGCATTCTTTTGTAGTCACGTACTTCAAAAAGGCTATTACTAAAATTCTTCCCGTGGACATAATCAAATTGTGACTTTTGGTGCAAAGAGACGCTTCAATATTTTTACCTACGCTTCCTACAGAAGCTGTAAGTATACATCACACATTCACAAAGCCGTTAAAACTTTTATCAGGTCACTTCAGGTCTTGATCAAACAATTCTTCCAAGTTACATCAGATTAGAATGTCACTGTCCTCCACCACCCTTTCACCCCCTTTTGCTTGAAGTTATATTCTTTCTAGCTCAGTCAGTGGAGCAAACATCATGAATATACCTCATTCGTTCGGGTGCAAAGTCACTAAGGTTAACTCAGACTGCTGTTCGCACCAAATGCTCACACATTTTTCTGCCAGATAAGCTTTCAGGAGCTGTTAAATCTCAACAATGGGGCCAACAGTGAGGAACTGGGTAGAATAATACATTAAACAGTCATAAATCCTTCCAAAGCGAAGCTTTAACACTATTTATTTACACTAATGCCACATTCCAGTTACTAAAACACTTACTAAATACCGTATTTCAAAAAGACAGGAAAAACTCACCTTTTTAATCTCTTTGTACAGTTCTAACTGTAACCTAGGAAGATTGGAATCCATCAAAGCCTGCAATAAAATGCATTGAGAATGTACTGTATCAGAGGGGAGGCACTTTACAGGAACAATGCAACACTTGCAATAACACAGCTTCAAAAAAGGCACAGAACTACCTAACTGCCCCTATATTTTATGTATAACCAGGAAAGTGCTAAATACTGAAGAGAGACACCTTTAGTTTTCACACAAACACAGAACAGAAATGCAGACAAATTCCACAAATTCTAGCAGTTATCTGCAGTTAACATTGACCGTGTTACCCATTCTACCTAAAAAAGGCCATATGGGATCAGACTACAAGCAGAGCCAACCAAACGTGCTTTCTGGCAGTCGCCAAGAATAGATATCACGAATAGAATATTAAAACACAAAAATAGTATTCACAGGCAGCAAGAGGTGTTCCCTGCTATACATCCCCACTGTCACGCAGCCTACTATTTCTCAAACTGAGGTTGTATTTGTATCATTACCTTTAACAGCCTTTGAAAAAACCCTCTTTCATCAATCAGCCTATTTTCTACATCCATCTCTTACCACAAGGTGTTCTGGACACCAGAAGTATTGCATCCCAGGATCTAATCAGGCATACTGCGACAGAGCATACACTGTAGTTTGAGCCTGCAGTCTGGCTAAGAACTAGGGTACATGAAATGACAGTAAGCACCAAAAAGGAGTAATTTTCTGGTCACCTCAACTCGATCATTCTCTGTCCATCTTTAAAATAGCAGAGAAGGAAAGAATATGAAAATAGTTCTACTATATGCAATCTCTTCCTATGGAATATTTTGTACATATACGATCACCCTTCCTCTTCTGTTTTTTTCCTAGTCTGTACTATTATTTATAAACATTTCCACCACCACTTACTCAAATGAAACAAGAGCTTCATACAATGTGCAAGTGCCTACATACAGGGCTATAATGCTTTTAGTATTTCATTCTGTATTCCTTGCCCGATAATTTAATAATGTCTAATTTTCTACCTGCCTTCTTGACCACGAACCATTAAGCTCACATCTTCACAGAACTGCTCACGATGACTACAAAATCTTACACGGCACATACCGATGTAGAGGCCACAACTGCTCAAGCGCGCTCAGTGAAGTGCCCGCGGCTCCTCCAGAGCATGATTCCCCTAGCCTAAAATTGCATGCCCAAAACTTCATTCCCCCCAATTATACCAGTCATTACAATAAAATAGTATTACCTTCCCCAGAAAGATCTCAGCTGGCTTGTATCTTTATATTGTCACAGCCACCCTAACTATTAACTCCAGGTGCCTAGGTGACAGTAGGTAGGGATAAATCTCACTTCACAAAACTTACGTTTTCATGGGCAGGTCCCTGCTGCTGTATACAAGCATATGAAGCAACACAAACAGGCACTAACTACTACCTGGCTTCAAGGGTAAGCTGGCTTCCCAACACACTCAACTGGAGCAACTCTTTTTACTAGTGTATACCTATATTTTTAGCAGGCTAAAATCTAAAAGGTCATCCCAGTTAGAAAAAATTATAAGCATAGTCAACCCTAAATTACTACAAATAATAAATCCCAATTAATTGAGACCAGCTGTACTCCAATCTGTGTGAGCAGTCCCACCAGTATCATTAGCACAGAGATTAGCACAACACTGTTAATCAGCTTCAGCAAGACTTTATCCACAGAAACCTGGTTACTCCCGAGTATTTTTCTTTTAAAGAAAGATATCACCAAAGCTATTTAAATTTGAGACATTTATGCTGTCTGTGAGGTTCTGGCCAATACTTAGTGACACTTAAAGGTGACCTACAGAGTGCTTATTGAAACTTATTTGCTCTTTCAGTTTACAGCCTTGTCTACACAGAAGTTTTAGCATTTTAATTAAACTGAGTATAAACTCCAGACAGAAACACAGTTACATGAGTAATGCTGACATCTATATTCTTGTATTTAAAGAGATATAATATAAAGTATCTTTCTAGCAACAGAATTTGTCTCTAAAATGTCTGAGATACCGAAACTGCTGAGCACTGACCAATATGCAAGCTTAGGGGCTCAGCACCTCTGCTCCGCTCAACACAACCATCACTGCAACTTGCACAACCAAAAATAAACTGCACATCTTTGTCTCTGCATTTATACACGAGAGCACATCTGCCTAAAATCTAAGTGGCTTCCAGACAGCACGCAACATCGCAACAGAATACAAACTATGACCAGCTTCAGTAACAGTCTGATATTCCCACCACATGGGTGTATCACAGCTATTACCAATTCATAGCTGTGACCAATTGGCAAGCTTAATAACTGATAGAAGACTCTTAAATTTTAAAGTGGTTTTAAATGACAAACAAAACAAACCATCACATAAATATTTGAAAAAAAAAAAAAAAAGTTTTTCAAGTTACCTTGAAAGATGCCAAAAAGCAACAATTAAATAGATTGGTGAATTAAAGAGGTCAAATTTATACCAAGCCTACAGAAGAGCTTGGAAAGAAGGAAATAAGTTCACATTCTTTAGAACTGTTTCAGAGCATCTTTTAAAGCAAATTAAGTTACATAATGGTAATTTCATAGAGTGCTAAGCTCCTGCAAATAGAAAAACATTTAAATCAGAATGAATAGAGCAAAGTGCTACAGGGCAAAACAAAACAAACAAACAAACAAACAAACAAACCACACTTGCACTTCCTCCTTCCCTAATGGAATATACCATATGCGACTGTCAGCCACAAGCTCAACCCCCAAAACTTAATTCATTCAGATATAAGACAAATAGAATTTAACTGAGAGAAATCTCTACGGAAATAAGGAAGTTTGCTTGTTTCTACACACCCCTTCATGCTAAAATAAATATTATTTGCATATTTCTAAAGCACTTAAACTTTGCATCAACTAGATAAATGTAATGTGCCTGTGTAATTAGAGTCAAAGGTCAAGTATTTCAGAAAACCGGAAAAAAAGGGCAGGTGAAGGTAAACCTGTCCTGGAAGCAGGAGCTCACTGCAATTACCCAAAGGGTTCATTTAAGCTACTTTGAATCAAGATTCAGACCTTGCCTGACCTCATATGAATGCCGACCTGCTGTTCTCCAACAAGCCCTTCATTCTGGATCACAGTAGGGTAATAAACAATCTCCAGAACACCATATTCATCCTAATTATTGCCTAAGAGCTCCTCCTCCAAGTCTCAGCAAATCACACTACCTGAATTGCAGCATACAACTAGTTTGGAATGAAAAGCCCCTACATCTTTCAGTCAGCTTTTTAGTATTTTTATCTTTCTTCATGTTAAATATCTTTATGTTTTCAGAACAGTAATAGAGTACTCCTCCCATAAGACAAGATGATTTTAGAAAAGCCCTGTTCTTGTTTTGGTTAACTTCAAGAGAACAAAGTTAATGAATGACTGAAGAAAAGAATATATTAGAATGATGAATGACAGAAGACAAGTTAAATATCTTGATCCAGGCATGAAAAGCTCTCCTAAGAGCACATACAGAATTTAGTAGAGAAGCTTTCTTAACCTCTCACATTAGGAGATATTATCAACAATAAGAAGAGGAACTCAAAGAACATCAGTGTGAATTCACACAGGACATTGCATCCAGAAGAGGTAAAATCTGGTAGTGCAGTGTAGAAAAGTTCTTACTTTGATAACTTTATTAAGGCATTCATCAGCAACCATCCGGACATCAGATTCCGCATCCTCACTGCAGAGTAGGAAGAGTTCCATGGCAATCCCCAGCAGTTTCTGAAATTCTGGAGAATTTCTAAATAAACAGATAATAGAAAATTACAGTGCACACTATGAAAAGCAAACACCAATGCTACTTCTGAGGGGGTTTCCTAATCTGACTACAGGTATATTATACATAGCTATAAAAGAGGAGAAGACCACAGTGGATTAAAGCTTCACTAGGAGTTGGAAGATCATCTCCCTGCTCTTCCCTACATAATCTGGCAAGGTATTTGACCTCTGTGCCTCAGTTTCTCTGTCTGAAGTAGAAGGACAATGCCTACTCTACTAATACTTAAACAAAATCACTTCTTAGATTTTGAGTTCAGAAAAAAAATAAAAATTGTGCCATTTCAATTGTAAACAGAAGCTGACCATTTAAAATTAGTAGTCAGGAAGCCTCCAAATAACTAACACTCCAAAGTAGTTATTCATATTAATACAATAAATTAAAGATATTGTCTTACCTTAAAGACTGAGCAACTATGTTTTCACATATTGTTAGGCAATGATTCACCCGATCTTTCTTGGTGGTTGAAAGTTCTTTCTTTCTAAAAGAACACAACAGTAATGAGTCTGAGATAAGACCTCAGAAGTGAGCAGTTACCATTTAAACACTCTGGCTAGAGCAGTGTCTAATGATTATACAAGAGAGCAATACACTCTTCTAGTCACTATACAGCTGTATGCCAACCACCTGTACGCCCAGGACTTCATATACTAACTGCTGCCGAGAACATGCAGGCACACAAGCAAAGGGAAGGATAAAAACTTAGAAAAAGAATGAACCATTTAACAGGGAATATCATACTAATTCCATAACTTTTACTGAGAAAAATATTTGGGAAATAAAACTAAGAATGAAGAGGAGTAAAGTGAAAGGAAGGAAAAAGTGGAGCAGACCTAGAAAAAAGCTGAAATGAAGAATCTGGTAGAATGAAAAAGGTTGGGGAAACCAAGCCACGAGAACAAGTCTTGCAGACCTAAAAATACCACTTTTAAAGAGAACTTCCTCACACATAGTATCACCTCAGAGTTTTGGGGTTTTTTTTTGTCTGGCAACTTCTTGAAACTTAGAGTTCTATTAAATCAACTGTTTTGTATCTGAACTGGAAAGGATGCTGTGGCAATCCTATCATATGCCACATTCCTCCAAATGTTTTTGTAATTATAGAAACAGCAAAATTCTAGGCACAGTCTATGCCCATCAAAAATAACGTCCCTCCACTTACTCTTGGCATAGTCCAGGGAAGGCCAACGTTAGTCAACTCATAGCAAATAAGTGTTAAAATGAAGAGAATAAAATTTACAAAATCAAAGAATGCATGTCTACAAACGATGCATAGCGCGACATGAAAAGCTTCTACTCTGCAAAATTCATTTAGTGTTCACTTCAATATGATATGGCTCCTGTAACCCTTTACAGATGAGCCTAGAACAGAAGCTGCTCCACCCCCACCCCCCCCAACAAAGGAGTTGAAGACTAAGACTGTGAAATTTTATTTCATTGTATGCAGTGTCTCCTACTCTTAACTGTACTGACACAGAATCACTTCTAGGAAAGCAGATGTTACTTTTAAATAATTAACCAGTAGCCATACTGGAACTAAACTGCACACCCCAAGGTACCTTTCCTGGGTCTGTTTCACAAGGAGGTACCTGCTCCTTCACTCACATTCACAGAGATTATTCCCTTTTGTTTTCCAAATGAAAATTAATCATCTGTGTTTTTAGCATTTGATTTTCTGTCTTAGCAAAAAATAGCAAAACTACCAAATAGCAAAACAGCGTTTCTGAACCAAAAGTTGGAAAGTGATGTGTCAGCACTGAGTTACATTAACATAGTTAACACAATGTTAAGGACCAACAGCAAGTAGCCAATAAAAGCATTAAATTAAACTAACTGAAAATACAGTTTCAGACAAAAATTTTGAAGAATTAAGTGGTAATATTTAAGAGCTTTAGCTCAAATAATAGTACAAGTTTTTTTTTTTTTGGGGGGGAAATAACTCTTTGCAAGCACCCTTGTCCTTTTTCTTTCACCATGTTGAAAGTGGAGGGTTGAAAAGTCCTCTTAAGACTGCAGTTTTTCTCCCAAGGACCCTCTCATCTCACTCCAGAAATATTTTCCCTTTTAAACAAAACCATTTTTTCCATTATAATTTGTCAGTATTTTATTTAGGTAAGCTTCAGCGTTCCTCAAAGAGGATCTCTTCTTTGGCTTGTGTTCTTAAGCAACTGGCAGAATACGAGCAGTCAGTTTGAATTTGATAAAGATGTACAACGTCCTTCTCTCTATCTTGAAAAAGCACCACAGAGACTTGAACAGCAATTTCAGATCTTCTCTAACAAAACAGCAAATACTTCCTAAATGTCCAGCTTATTTTACAACTTAAGCACCGTTGACGTGAATAGGCACCTAAGAAACTGAATAAGTCGTTTCAACTTTTATGATAATTTCACCTACCATTGCCCACATCTCTTATCAGCACCATTTTCAGTACACATTCAACTGAAGAACAGGACAGGCACATCTGAACTTGCCCATAAGCTCACCATTTTAGATACAAAACACATTACTATTGAATGAGGCTGCTTTCAGAATAAAGTTCTTTATTATCTAGACATAACATACCCCTGAGCAAGGCAAGCATTCAATACTACTCAGACTAGTACAGATCAATCTCTTTGGCAGACTTCTGTAAACAGAGAGCTCACCTAACACTGAATCTACCACCTCACTGAAATGAGTAACTTAGAAAATTAAAGAGGCCTGACTAGAGAAAAATCACTGTGAACACTTAGAAGAAATGCATATAGGTCATAAGTTACCATTTAAACTGAAATAACAGAAACTAGAGGTGAAGAACTATTAGTTACTACCCAAAGGGAAAAACATTCAACTGAGTTTACTGTATTGAATCTTTCATCTGCCATTTGTTTATTCAACTTGCAAAAAATTAGCCTTTGAATAAATGAAAGAAAAGGTGGAAGACAAATACTTAAGGTACATTGTGTGAATATGCACATTTTCTGTGCCTACAGAGGAAGAAGGATAACAGAGTAGTATCTAGAGATAGAGCACACCATTTTTTATTTAAAAAAAAAACAAACAAAAACTCACAAACAAACAAAAACACAACAAAAAACACAAAAACCTTTATTCAGAAGTATTATGAAGTCCTCAGGCAAACTACTGGTGAGCATACCCAGGGGGCCAACAGCAGCATCACACATTTCTTAGAACAGAGCTGAAGTAGCAAGCCCCAAGCGTAAGGTCATTTCAGTTTGATGAATCACAGAAGGCAGGAGCTACTGGAAGTTGCAGTTACCTACAGGAAAGCTTCATCTCATGTGCAGAGGAGTTTAACCTTCTGCATGCTTCTACAGACATTCTCTAGCCAAGACAATTAATCAACAACAGAAAAACAGTAAGCCCATGTAATTTCGCATTCTGTGTCGTGACAAGCTGGCTACGAAGCCAGCAAGCCCATGTAATTTTGCATTCTGTGTCGTGACAAGCTGGCTACGAAGAGGTGCAGCTCACTGATGCTAACTTTTATTAGGCCTTGGAATCAAGGATGTGTAAAAAGAGTACAGAAGCTCTAAAGCTGAACCAACATTAAAAAAAATGGCCAAGCCAAATGGCTTGACATTAATCCTGAGAAAGGAAAAAAATAGAAAAAAAAAGAAAAAAAGAGAGAAGTTCTATTAGTAACAAACAAATATGAGTGGATCAAGAAATAAACTAGCCCCAAATATGGCAGACACTTCAAACAACGTGTAGCAACAGACAACAATGGATAGTCAAATTAACTAGACCAGGTCTACAACACACCCTAGAAACGGTAACTCCAAAAAAACCATCTGGAACTGACAAGCAGGGCAATAGGTACTATTCATGCAGTTCACGTGGTCTTCAGTTAAGCAAAAAATTTAACACACCTCTACGTACAACACTGACGAAACCAATCTACGACCACAGCTTCAGTCAAACATAAAAAAATGCACACAAACTCATGAGTATAGAAAAATGAATATTGCTAGAGAGCACTTTGGCTCTTGCAGCACCTTCTTCTGGAAAGGTAACAGTTAGAATCAAATTTAAGGAAAAAAATCAAAATAGGGCACAATTAAAAACAATTACGATAATTAACTATTAGAAATTCACCTTTGGATTAACCAAATCAAAGCTAAATATTTTTCCAGAAGGAACATTAGCTAGTCAGTCCCTCAGCTCACTGATAAGAGGTAAAAATAAATAAAACTTTAAATATAGAACGTTGTGTGACAGCCCATCTGCTTTTTAGTTTCACTGATTCAACGCTGAAGTTCTACATCATACTAATGACATGTTAAATTTTGGCTGGAGTTGAGTGTTTTCTTTTGGATGACAAAACTCCCATGAACTTAAGGGTCTGAAAAAGCTAAAAATATAGATGGAAGAAAATAAGGTGCCTCAGCAAAAGGCAATAGCATACAAAGTACAGCAGCAACATGATGACAGAGAGTTCAACCTAAGTTTTCATAGAAGAAAAAGAATGGCATGAGATAGGAGAGGGGCCAGAAACTGATGTCTGATGCATAATAAAAGTATAACACATGATTATTGCTGATTAAAGTCTCCCAAAACAGAAAAAGCTCTTACCTTCCTGGTAAAAGCTTGAATTCAATTAATATTTTCATAAAAAAGTTAAAGCCAGGATATCGGGTTTATCAAGAGTTCAGAAGTCACTGCCTTACAATAAAGCGGAAAAAAAATTCAATACATGTTGTGCAAACAATTAAGTCTTCTCTACCCCAACCTCTGTGATCTCAAAACATTTCACAGCAGGAGACGGACAGCCCTTAGTAGGATTCATTCACTAACCAGAGGTAGAATGCTCAGTTTCTACCAAAAGTATTTAAAAGGCCATTTTTGCCTACTCCAACAGGAAAGATTTTTTTTATTATTATTCTTATTTTTAGTCATGTAGAGGTTAACACTGTGTTGTTGTAAATTAAGTAGCTTGTTTTGGGAGAAAAAAGAAAAAGTAGAGGTGGGTAGTCAGTTTTACTGTAACAAAAAAGTCCAACAAGAAATGTCTAATGCCACCTGTAGTAATGAGATTACAACTTGAGGAACAACAGCTTCTCACTCGTCTAATTTAGGCAACAGGACAACTTTGATCTAACGGACAATGTCAAACTGATATCCAACGAAACAAAGAGCAAAACCGTAGCATTTATGCTACAACATTCATTAAGTAATTTATTCTTTCACTACTGACAGGTAAGATCGCATCCTTTTACAACAGCAGACAGGTAGAACGATATTCAGACAGTATTGTGAATTACATCCAAGATGTCACCTGGTATTTCACTAGAAGTTCGGGAAATTTTAGCAAAGACTACAACAATATCCTTTCACAGGCTTTTATGAGGCTTAGTGCTGTTACTGAATTTGTATAGCTCCTGGGGGCATGCAATACCATCAGCCTTCTGAAAACATAAGGCTATTTTTAAACACAAAGCAAAGTCAACAAGGACAACTACAACCCTAAGTTTTTAATACTTTTGAGTATGCCTAAATTCAGACCCCCAAACCAAGCACAACATCCCTCAGCAAGCATCACAAATAATTTTCAGGACTTCCTCTCGAAATTCCATGCTCTATTTTATCAGTAACTTCCTAAACAGATTTTTTTCAACTACAGATGGGAAAGACTGGAAATAGGTGGCCATCTATCCTTCATGTCACACAAAATACTAGCACAAAAAAATGCACATAACAAAGCAATTAGTCCCTGCTGACGAGTTCGACATCTAAAAACAAGTAGTCATGAAGAAGATGAGGTTTTTCACCTATTGTGCCCCAAAACTGTGAAAATGCAGTGAGATTGTTTGAGACAACACTCTCCAGACAGAATCAACATGATAATTTATTTGACATCAGTATCAACGTACTGTGGGAGCAGGTGGCCAAGAGCCCAGGTCCGCTGCTTCGCATCCTCTGCCAAAACAGTATGAAACTGCCAATTTAGAAGCTACCTGCTCCTCAACCCTTCTGCTTCTCCCATCTCCCCAACAGCTGGAGCAAAAGTAATAGTGTGGCTCGTATTTGTGCCGTAAAAATCTTAGTATCTTTTCACATGCCTAATAAAAGTAGAGGATGAGAACGTAAGAGGCAGCACTATGGTACCGAACAGCTCCTCGCCCTTGTTCTCCAGTAATGTCTCCCGGTGGGAAACCTGAACATCGCACGGATGTAATGCATCTGTCCTAACGTTTAAGAAAGCAAAAGGGTATCAGTAATATTTAAACTACTTCCTCTTGGATCTCCGCGCAGCAAGTCACAGCACAAGACTTACGATAAAGTTTGTCACGTATAGACATCCACATCAACTCCCCCCAGGCGCATCAGACCTCAGACTTCTCACTTTACGTGGCTTAGTGCTTTAAGTTACACTAAGGGGGTCTTGCCTTTTCTCCGGCAGTGTATTAGCTAAACCCAAGGTTTTCTTTCCCAGAAGCAGCCTGTGAAATCCCTAGAGCATCCTTATATCTCCCGTTCATTACCCACACTGCTGCATTTTCAAGCGTGCTTGCCCAGAAAGTTCCTCCTAGCTCAAACTTAAACAGCGAGCAGGCAGCGCTCCCAGACACGCCGGCAGGAACAGCCTCCTGCCAAGGACAGGGAAGCACCTCGGGACTAACTCCTCCGGGCACTGCCACCTGCCTCCTAGCCTGTCAGCCCTTCAGAGCGGCAGCGGCCCGGCGGGGAGGCCTCCCCCTGGGGCAGGGGAGGGTGTCGCCGAAGCGTTTCGGGAGCCCTCCCGGCCCAGGTGTGCGGGTCACTCACGGTCTCTGGAGCGGCTCCTCGGGGATGGCAGTCGGACCCTGCTGCTGCTGGAAGGACCGCAACGACTCGAAGGCCTTCATCAGCTTCTCCA